CAGAAGCAACTCAGAAACATGCAACGGTCACAAGTTTGGCAAGTCAAGCCAAAGGAAAACTAGACATAAGTATGGTTTCTCCACCTCACCAAGTCACTCTCCGTAACAGATTTGATGCACTCCTAGCTGAATAAAAGTGAGCTGTCATAGCCAGCTGTGAGGTCACTAGATTGTTCTTATCCAATGTATAAGTATGTATGAGGGATCGTTGTAAAACGCTAAGCTTTTGATAAATAAACTTCAGTACTATTTAGATAAAACAAAGTTATATGTTTACCTTCATGGTGTTAGAGCTCAGGGATTAGAACCTGAGAGTCAATCATGGAGGACAATCAAGATGTTCTTTCTGTTTCCGCTTTAACAATCACTCAAGTCGTGACCTTGAAGCTCAAAGAAAGGAAGTACCTACTCTGGAAACTACAGTTTGAACAGTTCCTCTCAAGTCAGCTGCTTATTGGTCATGTCATCGGTGCTGAGCCTCGCCCACCTCCGATAGTAGCTGTATGCAACGAAGGTGCTGATGTTGAAACCGCAAATCCAGAGTTCAACAAATGGATTCAAAAAGAGCAACTCATCCTTGCCTGGTTGTATGGAACGCTGTCTAAAGATGCTCTCAAATCGGTGTATGGTCTTCATACCTCTCAAGATGTGTGGATGGCTCTAGCTAAGAAGTATAACCGCGTCTCTGCAACAAGAAATCTAGATCTCCAACGCCGATTTCACACAACGGTGAAAGGTAACAAAACTATGGCAAGTTACCTATCTGATATAAAGTCTCTTTGCGATCACTTGGATTCAATAGGAGCGCCTATCACTGAACATGAAAAGATTTATGGGGTCTTAAATGGTCTGAGAAAAGAGTATGAGGCAGTCTGTACGGTGATAGAGCACTCTATGGATGTGTATCCAGGTCCCTGCTTTGAAGAAATTGTTCACAAGCTAAATGGTTTTGAAGATAAGCTGAAGGCAGATGATTATGTTGTAGAAGTGTCACCACATCAAGCATACTATGTGAACCCTGGTGGCTATACTGGTCGTGGCAGAGGACAAAACCGTGTTGGATATTGTGGCCGTGTATCATATTCCACACAAGGCAGAGGCTTTCCTCAGCAGTTTGGTAACACAGACAATCAGCGTCCAACTTGTCGAATCTGCAGAAAGTATGGCCATTCAACTTACAAATGCTACCACATATTTTATGAAAACTTCGCTATTACTGAGTTTCCTCCACAGGAAAATGTCCTCACCACTATGTCCAACCAAAGATCATCTGGAGCACAATGGTATCCAAACAGTGGATCTTTGCATCATGTTACAAACTCGGCTCACCACTTGGATGAAGCACAATAGTATGATGGTACAAATCAAGTGATGGTTGGATACAATGATTATCTACCCACCACTCATGTTGGTTCTGCATTTATTCCCATTGGATCATGTATAATGGCACTTCTTGATGTGCTTGTTTGTCCAAATATTACAAAAACGTTGCTCTCAGTGTCTAAACTTATTGATGATTATCCATGCGGGTTTACATTTGATGCAACTATTGTGTGTGTTAAGGACAAGGGAACCAACAAAGTGCTCTGCCAGGGAAACAAAACTAAGGGTTTGTATCAGCTGAATGATCTCCAGCTTACGTCCTTCTATTCATCAAGACAACAAATTACCAGTGACAAAGAATGGCACATGAGACTAGGACATCCTAATGATCAAGTTCTGAAGCATCTATCAACAACTAAAGCTATCTTTTTCAATAAGACTTACAAGTCATTGTGTGAAGCGTGTCCAACCGGAAATACATGTAGACTTCTATTTTCTAGTTCAACTTTTTGATCTAGTAAAGTTCTTGAGAGAATACAATGTGATGTTTGAGATCCTGCACATGTTATGTTAGTTCAAGGGTTTATATTCTATGTTGTGTTCATTGACAATTACTCAAGATTCTGCTGGTTTTATCCCCTTAAATCAATGTTTGATTATTTAGTGTTTAAAGCTTTTCAACTTCAAGTGGAAAACCAGTACAATCAGAAAATAATGTTGTTTCAGTCAGACGGTGGTGGTGAGTTCATAAACAAAGCTGTCACATATCACTTTACTGCAACAGGGATAAAACATTTAGTCTCATGTCCTCACACGCCTGAGTAGAATGGAATAGCTAAACGTCGTCACAGGCACACAACGGATTTGGGTTATCTATGATGTATCAAGGTCATCTACCTTACACTATGTGGGTTGAAGCCTTTTACACTGCATTGTTCCTCAACAACCTGCTTCCCTCATCTATCAACGACAAGGTGGTGAGTCCATTTGATGAAAACGATATACAACCCTCCAATGAAATCCCCAAATCAAACCATATATCAAATGAAATACACGATATACAACCCTCTGATGAAACCCCTAAATGAAACCCTAAATCAAACCCGAAATCAAACCCTAAAACAAACAAACTAGGCGATTTCCAACCCCAATGAAACCCTAATCTACTGAACAAGACGATATATAACCCTCTGATGAAACCCCCAAATGAAACCCTAAATCAAACCCGAAATCAAACCCTAAATCAAACCCTAAATCAAACCCTAAATCAAACAATCTAGGCGATTTACAACCACAATGAAACCGTAATCTACTAAACAAGACGATATAATAACACACAAATGAAAACCCCTTTTCGATTGTAAACCCTAAAAAATTCACATCCCTAAATCGCTATCGAGCCTCAAAATCAACTCTACTTGACCATGACTCTACTCGATACTAACCTGCTCGTCGAGAAAAATCTCTGTCGTGTGTTTTAGATCAAGAAAACGGAACCGATTCGAAATCGCCCACGGAATCGCCGCAGAGAAAAAAAGAAGAGACTTTCGGGGAAGAAAGAGAGAAATGACACGAGAGAGAGGAAAGCCCTAATTTTGACCGACTCCGATAGCCACTCACGAGACGACGCGTGGCTTGAACCCCATTCTCGCGGGTTCATCACGAAGGCCCGGTTCACGGGTAATTACCCAATTTTTTTTTTTTTAAATGGTTCGGGCCTAAGAACTCGAGCCCATGAACCCCCTTTGAACCCCAAATGCAGATGCTCTTAGAATACTATATCAACTGATATTTCTAAAGGGTTTGAAAAGTAGTATGTAATATGCTCACAAAATATTTTAGATTGGTTGAGTAAGTCTAGTAGTCTACTATTGGGAAGAACATCAATTCTCACGCCAAAGTGTTGGAAACTTTTGACCAGGTTTCTTTTTTCACAATGTTTCTTCTTGACCAGGTTTCTTGTATAGATCTAATTTAATTTCACAGCAGTAATACTACAATTATTTCCATGTCAAATCACAGAAAGCAATATATATATATATATATATATATATATATATATATATATATATATATTCTGTATATCGTCTCAGTTCTCATTGTCAAAGCTTACCAACTAGATAAAAAGATCGATGGAGAAATGTTCAGCCGATTCTTGAATAGAATGGATGCATTTGCTAATAAAAGGGCCACCTTCACCCACTTGTAACGTACATTGTCTCTGTTATAAATAACAACATGATTGGATTACAGTGATTCTATATAACAAGGATGAAAGAGATAGACACTTAGGAGAACAATAACAAAATTGAGAAATGTTGTAAATAACCTAAGAATTAATCTCGAATTCACAAAAGCTTGAATTCTATTTCATTGCTGCATAAAAAAAGTATACAAAGTTAAAAAAAAAAAAAAAAAAAAGTATACAAAGTTGAGTTTCCTTTATTTAAAAAGTTAAGATATCATAGATTACAAATGTAAACGTGTTTACCTTTTTCAACAAGAATATAGCTTTTAACATTGAGAATAACTTCATGTCTCTGATAGTATGAATTTGGGGAAACAAAACTCTGGCTTTCCCTTCGTTTGTGAAAAATCAAGTTATAGAATAGAAGTATAATCATATCATCTGGAAAATTCAAGCCATCAAGAGAGAAAAAGAGAAATTTTTATATGAAAAATCTTTAGTTATTCATATTCAAATAAATGTGTTTATTTTAAATTCCTATCGGTGTAATCTACGTTGCACAGAAGCTTCATCGGACATGCGTTTCCCGCTTCAGAACCGGAATCGAAATCAAAATTTTATGGAAGCTTGCGGAATCTTATGGAACCGTGTAATCCCTTTTTACATATGTTTTCTAGTTTTTATAGTCTAAAATTCTTTGGCGAGAAGGCTTAATTAGTAATAGAATCCAGCTTTAAAAAATAAATAGAAGTAAAATCTGATAGAATCTTCAACTAAACTTTTGTAGAAAGAATCATATATAGAGAATCATTTTCAAATAAAAATAGGGAAGAGTATATTGGAATAAAGATCTTTCTCATTCTAAAAACTCAAATAAAAGACTAAGAAGATGAAACAATAGAGAAGAAAAGAAGTTGACGAGAGAAAAATTTACAGAAAAGGTTTCCAAAAAAAAAATTACAGAAAAATTGATTGAAATGATAGGAGATGAAACATTTACTAGTTAATGCCGGTGGTTGCTGAATTTTAGAACATGTCATTATGATAGTTGGAGAAACCTAGGGGTTTAATTTTTTTTCTTTTTAACATTGCGGATATCCCAGGCCCATGGAGAGGTCCAGACTAATCCCTAAAGGAGTGGTGCCTACGGATGGACCCTCACTCCGGGTATTCAAATGGACCGTAAGATAGGTCCGGGTCGTAAGATAAGTCCATATCCGCATGACCACAAGATAAATGTAGTCGGGTGCCTTCGTATCCGGGTTACTTAACAAATCTCAAAGTTCGCCTACCACTAGACCACCGTCTTGTAGTTGGGATTTAATTTTTTTGCAGATACCTAAACATTTAAAATCAAAGGAATGTGATGAACTTTTGATTTTGTAAATAAATAACAGGTGTCAAATTTTGATTGTTCTGGTGAATTGTGTGTTTAGTATATATATATAAATGATTGTTTCTTTAAATTATTTAGACAAGACCGAGCGATCAGTACTCATAATCGTCTTTGCCAATATTTCTTTCATCTTTATTCTCTTGTCTCATGCACATGCCTCGACTTCAAGAAGACGGAAGCGGTCCATTTCGTGGCTTTTTGTTGTCGACCGTAGGTTCAGGCCGACCGACAGCAACGGGTACAATCCACGAACCCACTGGTTTAGACCTAGCCATGAAACTCCACTACATTAAGGCGGTTTATATTTACTCTGCCGAGATTGCAAGTGAGTTAACCGTTATGCACGTGAAAGGGACCTTTTTCCCAGTGTTCGCTCAAATCCCATGGATCACTGGCAGGTTAAGGCGTAGCGGTTCGGGACGTCCGTTCATAAAGTGTAACGACTCCGGCGCGCGTTTTGTTGAAAGTCAGTGCGAAATCACAGTGGATGAGTGGCTACGTGTACCAGACCGGTGCGTTGATGAGTCTTTAGTGTACCATCAACCAGTTGGACCGGAGTTGGCATACTCTCCTTTTATATATATTCAGGTACGTGTATGTCTCTATACTAATTTACGTAAAATATATATACACGTGTGACGTGCCCCTAAAATAAACAACTGATCAATATGACTTCTGGTCCATTATACGAAACTAAGAATGTGTCTATATTTATCTAAAAAATAAAAAAGATAAACGTGAAACGAGAATGAAATTGGCAAACATCGCCATGAAGACTGATTGATTCTAGACAAAAAAAAAATATGCGTTTCAAAGTATAAAAGGATCTACAGAGGAAGTTTTATGATGTTTCAAGATGTATTAGATTTTAACATCTCTAAGTTTACCCACTACGGACCTCAACGACATCTTGCTGCAAAATTACCCTCTAGAGTCCTGTATTGTTTTTCGCCCAAGATCTACCTTGGTTATGCAAAAGATTTTTTGAATATGTTAGAACAAAATCCGTGATAAACACAAAGAAAAGAAATTTGATATGTTAGGGTTAAAATTCATTGTTTAAACATTTGACATGATTTATAAAGTTTTATTTAGTGAAAGACGTATAAACATTAGAACATTGGTTTAATCGAATTTTATTGCCGTAGATGACCCGGTTTAAGTGCGGTGGATTAGCAATAGGCTTGAGCTGGGCTCATATCATTGGAGACCCATTCTCTCTTTCAGACTTCTTCAACTTATGGACTCGGGGCTTAGCTGGTGAAGAAATCTACTCCACCAAAACCTCTGACTCGAGAAGAGGCGTCCCAAAGCCGAATTCCAGGGGAAAAGAACCAGTTTCCATAAAACGGGTTGACCCGGTTGGAGACCTTTGGATCGCTCCGAATAACGACAAAATGACAACATACTCTTTCAACATAACGGTCAAGAATATAAAAACAAACTTTCGGGCGAACGGAGATGTGTTCGAGATTCTCAGTGGGATGATATGGAAATGCATAGCGAAGGCGAGGGGAGAACCGGAGCCGGTTACGATCACGGTCATCAGATCTGATCCGAACGGACTGAAACCTAGAGCGGTGAGAAACAGTCAGATGATTAGCTCCGTTCAGGTCGATTTTTCTATCGCAGAGGCGAAATTGGAGGAGATTGTTCAATCTATCGGAGAGGCGAAGGATGAGAGGTCTGAGATCGATGAGAAAGATGATGGTGTTTTGGATTTCGTCGTCTACGGAGCGAAATTGACGTTTGTGGATCTAAGCGAAGTTAATTTCTACGAGGCCAAAATAAAGGAGACGTCGCCGGTGTCGGTGTACTGTAATGTTCAGGGGATAGGAGATGAGGGAGCTGTAGTGGTGTTGCCGGCGCTGGATAGAGAGGAGAGGCTTGTGATGGTGACGTTGCCAGAGGATGAGATTGACAAGGTAAAGTGTGAACTAAGGGAGTGGGGTTTAATCACGCCATTACTTAACGGAGAATGAACAAAAAAAGCGGTGTTCTATATATCTCGTTGTTGTTTTTCTCTATAAAATGTGTTTACGTTGCTTTGTAATATCAATTATGCTACGGATGACGAATTTGTATGAAGATTGAAATAAGTAAAACAGGTTGTAATGATGTTTGTTCGAATGTTATATGGTAAGATAATGCATACTTGATTTTGTGAGTGTGTGTGCAAAGCATACTTGATTATGTATGCTTATTAATATTAGTGAACTCGAGAGAGAGAGACTTGTCTACTACAGTTTCCTTTTGTTTTGTTCTTTTTTTTTTATGAAAATGTTAAGATTTTATTACCAATTTTAGTTTTTGACAGAATTACAGAGAAAACAAGAAACAGAAGCATTAACTGAAATAAGCAGGGGAAGATACAACTAGCTAACCAGCCAACACAATGGATCCAACAGAGTCATACAAGTCGCTTGCCACAAAAAGATGAACCGCAGTGAAGTGTACCCGATGAACAGGTCTTTTAAGATAAGGTCCGTCCAACAACAGCTCGCTAGTGACCTCCTAATCTGAATCCAACACGCACGGACCGCTAGACTAGAGACCAAACACACCCACAAAACAGCCAAGCTTTATTCAAATATGAACAAACACAGGCTGCGATGGAGACAAATCTGAAACGAGTTCTTCAGGTCTTACAAACAGAAAAAACCAAGAGGCCGTCCAAGCACTGGGATGACCATTCCCTAACCAGGAGACCTCGCAATTAAAATCCTTGACAACCAACACGTGAAGGAGAAAAGCATAGCCAAATGAAACCAGTAAGTATTCTCTGCACACTCAAACAGGACATAACACTTCTGTGTGATGTTTGTTGTTTGAATTTTTTTTTTTCTTTTGATAAAATTGTTGTTTGAATTGTATTATCAATCATTATTCCTACTGAGTTTCCATCCAGATTGTATATCTTCAATTTTATTAGCTAGGCCATATAGAGCAAAGAGTAGATCATACGGGTTCAATCATGTATCTGATGGGTTTTCAGTACTCGGCAATTCAAAAAAGCATATCTTCAATGGATGTCTCAGGTTTCGTCTAGATCATTTATGATTTTACATGTTTTCATCATTCTGATTTAGCCAACGTGGAAGCACAATACTGTGACGACTCGTGAGACGCTCGGCTGTATATGGAGTCCACCATATACACTCTTTGCAGCGGTCAAATGTCATTATGAAGCCGTCACAGACTCGTTTCTCATCTCCATCTTCCTCCATCTGAAGACTAAACTTTGTGAGTCCTAAAGTTCAACAAGACCACAAAACTGAAAACTGAAACAACAACCTTTGCTCTTTTACCTGAAAACAGAAACAACAACCTCTCTCGTTTACACTGGAAGTAAGTGAAGCAGAAACAAAGTTTGATAATTTTTGAACAGTTTACGAAAGTGACATTGACTAAAATTTGAAAAAGTAGATGGTTTCAATTGGAGAAAAGGCAAGAGGACACAGTCTGTTATTTAAACAGCTGATCATTCAGAACTAACCGGAGAGGATCTATCGACTCGTCCTTTGTTGTCACCAGGAGAAGCTGACCGCAATCTTTCATGACGTTTTGATCTTTTGTCTCTTGAACTGTTCCTCTTCTCTCTCGATCTCGACCTCGAGTGTCCCTTAAGTCCTGATGATTTCTTTTCATCAGGGGATGACCTTCTCTCTCTCCTATGCCTACCCTCAGAAGACACTGACCTCGACCTTCTTCCACTACGACGCTTAGACTTTCTGTCCCTGCTCCGAGTCTCCTTGGTATGATGACTACGCTTACCTTCCACTGATTTTGACCTGGATCTCCTTCTACGTGATCCTCTGTTTTTATCTTCATCCACCTCATTGTTCCTAGAAGACCTGTATTTAGTTTCCAATGATCTAGACCTAGACCTTCCCCTCCTCTCCTCCTTCATATTGTCTTCAGCACCATCAACATTCTCATGAGAGCCATTGTCGATTTCCAATGATTTAGACCTGGACCTCTCCCTGTGTTTCCGTTTAGTATCATCAGAACTTTGGGCTGCGTCTCTAGTTCTTTTCTGATCTTCAGGAGATCTTGACCTTGACCGGTTCCTGCGATGTTTCAGTTCCTCATCTTTTGCTTCACCCTTCTTATCTTGAGAATCTTCCACTGACCTAGATCTTGAACGTGTTCTATGTTTGTGTTTGGTATCTTCATCATCTCTTGGAGTTGACTTAGTTTCCTTATCTCGCCTAGGCGATCGTGAACCAGCACGAGATGATTTCTTACCCCCACGAGATGAGCTATCACGTCGATGTCTTGACAGCTCTGAATCATCCTGCTGGGATTTTCTCTTCTTGGGGCTTACACTCCTACTTCTCCTTGACCTAGATGAATGGTGTTCATCTGATCTACCGTATCTTCTACTTTCAGAAATATCCCTAGAATCTCTATATGACCGCCTTCTCTCCTCATAGGTTGATCGCCGATGATATCTTAAGGGTGATCTTGACCTATGACTTCGAGGGCGACGAAAGGGTGGTGAATAAGTAGGAGATCTCCGCCTTCGCCTGTAACTAATTGGTGATTTTGACTTCGATCTAGACCTGGCAGGAGAGTTAGAAGGTGACCTGCACAAGAGTGGTGACTATCAGTTCAGCTCTCAAATGATATGACAATGTCATCAAAAGGAGAAAAGAGCAAGCCACAGGTCATAGAAGCCCACCTAGGTTTCTGGCCGTCTTCTTTCTCGTCAGTTACAACTCCATCAGGATTCAGTTTCCTGCTTATCTCTGCAGCTCTAGCTGCCGCAAGCTCCGTAGCAGACTTCATGGTGGCTGCCCTATTCGCCGCCTGCTGAGTAGCCATGGCTTGTTGCATCAGTATAGCCTGTTGGAACTGCATCTGCTGCATTGCGACGGCCTGTTGCATCATCATTGGTAGTGAGGATGAAGAAGAGTTATCGGAAGATGGTTTCTGAGGAAGCGATTTCGCAATCTCAACATTCAAAGGCCTACCACAAACTTCCATATTATTTAACGCCAAAGCAGCGGTTGCTTCTTCGGTCTTTCCGTACTCTATATAAGCAAGATCCTTTGAATCAGTTATAGTACAGTTAACTACTGTGCCACAAAAGCTAAATAGCTGCTTAAGCTGTTCAGTTGTAAGCAGTGGACTCAAGTTGCTAACTTGGAGAAATTTCTTCAACGCTTCCCCCTTCACTTCTTTTTCCGGGGAACCTAAAGCAAAAGCTACTTCAACTCATGAGTATCACAAAGGGCAAGCAAACTAAATTTCTATAAAATCCATATATACGCTTTCCACAAGGGACCCAAACAAAAAAAACGAGTATATATTATAGAGAGAGAGAGAGAGAGACAAGAATGAAAGGAAAAAATACCTAAAGAGCCTTTGTTTGATCGAGCCTGTGCTTGCATCTGAGAAGCATGGGCTTGAAGGGTTTGTGCGGCGACAATAGCCTGAGCAGCAGCCATTGCAGCAGCGGAAGGCGCCATAGGTACCTGACTTAAATTACCCATGCTAGTTGTTGCAGCTATAGCAGTCATCAGCAAATTCTGTGGAGGGTGATTCAACTTACACACAGTGCTTGCACACCTACCATTAAGATATTCTCGACAAACCTCCCCAAGAGAAGCTCCAACACCAGGCAATATCACACCACCAGAAGGACCATGGGAAACGCCTGGAACCATCCCTAACATCCCGGGGAAAGCACCCGAAACAGAGCCAGTGTAGTTCGGCATGTTGGGCATAGTCTGATTGATAAGGTTTGAGTATGAAGCTGGAGCAGAACCAATAATTCCGGTAGAAGAAGACCCTGATAAAGACAAAACCTTTTACCATTAAACAAACAGTCATAAATCTAAAAAGTGAGATCAAATTAAAGATGTTACCTTGACTAAAGAAGACAGGGAAAGGACTTCCCATGATAGCAACACCATTACACTCAATGCTCACCATATAGTTACCTCTCTTAGGCACAACATAGGTAACAGCATAACTCCCATCTCCAACATCTTTCACCACACCTTCTTGATCCGTACCACCAACACCTACACCAGGAGACACTTTAACCCTAATTAAAGCTCCACCATTAGGAACTCTCCTTCCATCAGAGTCCTTTGTTACGACTATAAACGTTGACGGTGCACAGGCGGTTCCTCCACCTACCCCAGCACCAGAAGCCGTGGACTTACTCGGATCCACAGGACCGATTGGTTTCCTCGATAAGTAATCAGATTCATCCTCCGAATCGCTGTCGGAATCTGGTGAAGACTCCGGTACGGTGGAGGATGGAGGAGGCTCAATCAAGGGCGTAGGTTGATCGAAAGTGGCGTCGAAAGCTGCTTTCGCGGCGGCGTCTTTCTCTCCTTCGTCTTTGATTTTGGCGTCTTCGGCGTGTTTCATCCAGAAGGGCTTACCGGCGTTAGAAGCCATCGATCTGGGATGAACACCGTCGCGGAGATAAATCGCTTTGAACAGAGAGACAGAGGCTAAGCTTCCATCACAGGAGGCTGAAGGGAGAATGGGGAAATCGGAGGAAGATCCCGGTGGGTCTAGGGTTTCTTAGCAAATCGAGGAAAAGAAGAAGGAAAGGGAACAAAATCGAATCTTTTTTTATCCAACTCGCAAGCAAGTGGATGATTTCTTTCTTCTATTCCTTTTCTTTTAGGTCCCTAAGGTTTAACTAACTTCACTGTGGTCCTCAATTATGTTTGCCTTCCATAGAAAAATGGTACATTTACATTCCAACCTCAACAAAACTCTCAATCATGCCTTTTATATATACTAGTTGCATACTCCCCGCGCAAGCGCGGGGCCGGAATTATTATGTTTGCGTTTATTTTTTTGATTTAGTGGTTTAGTGGATTCTTCTAATGACACCAAATAATAATGAAATTGAAAGAATATAGTAAGAGTGTAAAGTGAAAATATTGTATATCTAATGTGTTAAATGTTATTTATATGCGAAGTAAGGTTTATAGGAACAGTTAGTTTATAATATAGTTTTTAGTGTGTAAAAGTAGGTGTCTATTTTTTTTTTGCTGTAAATAGTTTTTATATCGTATGTCAAAACTTGATATAATTCTATATTTATAGTATTTATATTTATATTAAACGATTTATCAATTTAAAAATAACCTTAATTAAGTTAATATTCGTTGTTTAAGTTTCATTAGATCGGTTTTTATATATGGTTTTTTTGTAAGTTTGGGTTTTGTTCATAAAAGATGTGGCATTTTTATCTACAGCGTCATCTACTGTGGGAATCCATTCGCCGAAGTCTAGAGTCGGTGGTGAGAAATGTTTTCAATGAAATTATAGTAGTTATTAAAATGTAAGAGAAATTACATATTCATTTAATAAATAACGAAAAATACTTAAATTTTGTTGTTTATTTTATTTTATTTCACATACAATTTTTTTTGAAAATATATTAGGAATGAGTTAAATGTTATTTATATGCGAAGTAAGGTTTATAGGAATAGTTAGGCTATAATATAGTTTTTAGTGTGTAAAAGTAGGTGTTTTATTTTGCTGTAAATAGTTTTTATATCGTAGATCAAAACTTGATATAATTCTATATTTATAGTATTTATATTTGTATTAAATGATTTATCAATTTGAAAATAACCTTAATTAAGTTAACATTCGTTATTTAAGTTTCATTAGATAGGTTTTTATATATGTTTTTTTGTAAGTTTGAGTTTTGTTCATAAATGATGTGGCATTTTTATTTATGGCGTCATCGACTGTGGCCGTGGGAATCCATTCGCCGGAGTCTGAAATCGGTGGTGAGGAATGTTTTCAATGAAATTATAGTAGTTATTCAAATGTAAGAGAAATTACATATTCATTAAATAAATTACAAAAATAATTAATTTTTGTTGTTTTTTATTTTATCTCACATACAATTTTTTTGAAAATATATATTAGGAAATATGTGCAATGATTTCACTTTTTGAGCTCTTAATTTATATTATTCAAGCCTCATTAAGCCATCCACGTAGGTAGCCGCGTGGGATTCACTTTTTTTTTGGTCGGTTCGTTTTTGGATTCATTTTTTATTATTTTTGGGTTGAACTATATTATAATAGGATAGTTTTAAGGCTCTTTAAGCCATCCGCGTGAGACTTGCTTTTTTTGTTTTTTTTATTGTTCGTTTTGCATCCATTTTTAACTATTTTGGTTTGAACTCGTTAAGTTTTAGGGTTTATCCAACCATTTTGATCTTTAAAACAATAAGCCATAAAAAAACATAAAAACCTTACAAACAAAAAGCCCAAATGATAATAACCCAAATAATAAAATATAAATGATGGATGCGTGGTTTGAACCCACGATCTTGCATGTTTAATTAAACACCTTATACCATTTGGCTAAAGTGTTTTTCATTGTTTGTAATCATCTTACCAAGACTATAAGTTTTTAAAAAATACCTACGGGACCCACAAAACTGCTGACGTGGCGCGTTGTGGAGCCTAGAAAGTGTACTATTATACTATAGATTTTTGATAATAATACTATGTTTTTAATCTTAATTTTTAAATAATAGTATAATTTAACCATCTAAACTTCCATTGATTTAGTCAATTAGTAAATTTCTCTGTCATTTGACACGTTAACAACAAAAACAACAACACTGTTACCAAACAAAAAGAACAACAATATTGTTTTTAGAAAAATTAGTTTTGAGTTAGAGATTGATTTTCATTTTCTTTAGTTTCACTATATTCGATTCAAAAATTGAAAATGAATTCAGGAATATCAGAATATAGGATCTCAAATGTTTCTACATTTAGGCAATTTTCATATAACTCTCCAGACATAAATTTTATTATCTTAGTATTATATAAAATATTTTACAAGATCCTTTAGACTTTTATTGGTTCAACAAAAACTTTTCATTAACCAATTTAGGTTCACCTTATATAACATGAATGTTTTGTTTGCTACTTTATTATCTTGACTAGGATATAATTTCACCTTATACAGTAAAACCTCTATAAATTAATAATGTTGGGACTTTGAAATTTTATTAATTTATAGAGATAATTAATTTACCAAAAATTTCCTTATTCAGATTTTTTTCTATTTTTTCTATTTTTATTTATAAAGTAAAAAAATATTTGATTTTCACAATAGTACATTATTTCAATATTAGAAATTTGACGTTTATATATTTTTATTATCTTATTTGGTGTATATTCTTATGTTTCATAGAATTGTTATGTAGTTTTGGATATAATTTAACTAAATATTATCAAAATATATTAGTATTTTTATTGTAAATATAAAACCAATAATATAATGTTAGATTGTACTTATATAAAACTATATATAGATAGATTATTAATTTATGATTTTAATGGGACTATATATCTACATGGAATTTTCTAAAATATTATTATCTTATTATTTTATCGATTTGTGTCATATTTTACACCGACCCAAGTTGGGACCGGTGAAATTTATTATTTTATAGAGATTATTAATTTATCGAGTATTAATTTATAGAGGTTCTACTGTATTTTGGATTTATTATCAAAGGTTGGCATAAGTCTAGTATGATTGGTTTTAGGTTGGATTATGGAGCCTCCTCTCCTTAGATCATTGCTCGTTTCCTTAAATTTGTTTTCACAATAATTTGGCAGTAGCCAAAACCTGATAGTGTAAGAATTGTGCATCGAATATCTTCATTTTCTTTTCATTTGATGATCCCAATCTTAAAAAATCCTTTTGCACCTATTCACAAAGTTGATAAAACAAAAAAAAACAAGGGTAAAATTGATTAGTATGTTTTTCCCACACTTTATTTGGAAAATATCATGATGTATACTAATCACTGTTGTTTCTCAGGATGATAACAGGAGGTGCAACGCTGAAATAAGTGAAAATTGTACGCAGAATCATGAAGACATTGTCAACAAACTTTCTAGTAGTTTCCATGTTTCTCTAGATAACATCACAACTCAGAATTCTCAGAAATTGTGATTATGATTGCTTTTTGTCCCTATTGACGCAGGGATGACATTGCTGGATCCATAGATGAGAAAGAAGAGTCAAGACCTGACAGGAGACCTGTTGTGTTGTTTTTGTTGAGAGATCATTTTAGGTTTGGTTAGATTGCAACTCTTTCTCTCCCTTATCATCGGGATACTTTGTATACTACTTTGCAACAAACCGGTTTCTTTATATGGAAACTCGTTTTGAATTGAACTGAACCAATAGAGAGTAATCAAGCCAGTTAAATCTATTTTCGGTTTTTTTGGTACAGTTTGAATCAGTTTGAACTCTAGACTAATCAAAATTCTGGTAAACACCTTAAATGTATGGTTCATTAACGGTTATATTAATTGGTTATGCAAATATGAAATAGACGCAATTAGGCATTACGACTTACAATAGAGTTCCTCTTCCTTTTCAAATTCATAAAGGTTTTGATTGTACTTTTTTCCAACAAAGTAATATTAAAAATCTAAAATAACTATAATCTAAACCAATTCAGAGATCCAAAGAACCAACATAGTATACAAAATGTTTCAAAACCAGAAGGAGGACATAGCAAAATGGGTATCAGCAAAGATTAAGAGAAGAAACGGTAGATCGTAGCAGAAAACTATCTAATCCAGCAAAAACTAGAGGTATGAATGTCAAAGAAACGAGATTTACCATTTCTTGATCCTTAGGTTCTGAAGTCGTAAGAAGCCCAAAGATGAAGAGAGAAAGATGGAGGGTGAATTCTCTGGTTACGTTCTCTTCAAGCTTTGATTGCATGCGCCGTTGGCTCGCTTCAGAATTGACTCGACGGCAAGGTCTGAATCCCAGACGAAAGTTCCTTCGCGCCTTTTGTATTGCATGGAGTTATGGGGTGTTAACTCTACTCTGCTCTCATTTATTCGCAAGAAACCGCGATTGTATTAAGGACTTGATTCTAATTTACCCCCAAAACCTCTTAATTTGTTCTTAATGACTTAAAGGACTTGATTCTAGTATGCATTCCCCTATTATAATATATACCTCATTCATTTATTTAGTTTAGTGGAAAACGTGGGTAAATTCCCCCTAGAAAACCTTTAATGTTATGAACTATGTTGTGGATTGCCCTAACCGACCATTGGCATGTCTAACCAGCCCGTCCATCAAGTGCTCTAGACAGCTGGACTCTTTCCTTTTTACTTAGGCGGCTAGTTTCCCTTTTCCTTATGGGATTAGGTTTTGTACTATTTCTTTTTCCTAGTTGGTTTAGGTTTTTCCTTTTCTAGGAACTTGTAACTCCCTATATAAAGGCACCTTATGATTATAAATAAACATCTTGAATTCCCCTTTTATTCTTTGACTAGGAGATTTTCCCGTGCTCATGCACGGACATGTATATTTATAAAATAAATATACAATAATAATTGATTGATATTTATTTTAATTTTTAAATTAATTTATAGTTCGTATGTCTAATTTATATTATAATATTATATCACTTTAATTGTATATATAATTTTAGATATGTTATTTTTAGTCTATTTTATTGTTTTTACGGTCGATTTAGTTATCATTTAGATATATTAGATTCTCTCTATTTCTCTGAATTCAACTATAATCTTCTATATTTTAAATATATTAAATTTTTGATTAATTGTCTTATTTGCATTTATGCTGGTTGTTATCTTAGAAATATAA